TTCTCCTTCTCTCCCAAAACAATGGAAGTAATCTCATCTAAATTCAACAAATCTCATAGTCATACTACCACATCAACTTCTTATGATAATAGGAGAAACATAAGAAGAAGAAATGTTTTTTTAGCTATAATACTTATTCTACTTGGGGTCATTATACTACTTATAGTATTGTTCTTCACTGTCTTTAAGCCTAAACACCCTATTACAACTATTAACTCTATTGATCTAGAAGATCTTCAAGTTTCTTTTGATTTACCAAGATTAAGACTTAATCTTAATCTTACTCTCATTGTGAATCTTTCTTTTAAAAACCCAAACAAAGCTAGTTTCAAATATGGGAATGATAGTATATCTTTGTTGTATTACAGAAATGTTGTTGTTGGACAAGGTATGTTACCAGGTGGAAAGATTGGTTCTCAAGAAACAAAGGTTTTGGATACTAAACTTGTGATTTTAGCCGATCGGTTAATTGCGAATTCAAATGTTTATACTGATATTGTTTCTGGTATGTTGCCTTTAACTACTTACACAAAGATATCTGGGAAAGTTTCTGTATTGAATGTGTTTAAGCATCATTTAGCGTCGTCTAGTTGGTGTGATGTTGTTATTGATGTTATCAATCAAAGGGTTTCGAATTCAGGATGCAGATATAAGACTAAATTTTAATTTGGGGATTTGATATGGCGAAATCATATATAGTATGTTAGCTTTCATTTTGAACTTGAAACCAATGTAGGATAGTGTCACCTTGGTGGTTAATAGATAGGTGATGCACCATAGCAGACATAGTTGAAGAGTATTTGGGTGATGTCTGTGTTCGCTGGGAGGTTGTAACTGCAGCAAATGTGGCTTCTAAATGTTGATGAATTATGAAAGGAACCGAATCAGACCTTAATGAAGACTGACAAGTCGTGGAGTCATATTATCCCGAAGCTGTTTGTTCATTGTTCACTATCCACTCGAGGTTTTCAAATAACATTTCTGTATGCAAGTGAACTCCTCACATCTTATTATGTAGTCTGAAATATTGCAGACTACAATGTTGTGAGTTTTAATGTCTACAATATTGTAATAAATGTTCTGTTCTGTTCAATACGCAATTATGCATACGATCATTGTGTCTGTCACTCTGTAAAGATTGTCACTCTCTTGATAGTTCATATCAATTCCAGAGAATAGTTGCAGTGAGTTTACAGGGTATATGCAAGAAATCGATAATATTTTACTTCCATTAATTTGTTGTGGGATCATCTCAGCTATGAAGATACTCACCTATAATATGTTTTATGAAGTCAAGAATGCATCATTGTATAGTTTGTAAACCCTTACAAAATACTTGATAGGGTAATAGTAAACATGATCTTGGTCGATCTGAATGGCATAGCTATATATAGTTATGTTTTTATTCATTAATTACATATAGGTTAAGTTACTTTTTTTGAATTTGCATCAACAGAGTTTTGGAGCACTTGGAACTTTGCTCT